GTCCGGTTTGGGGACCACAGGATCTCGTCTCTTTTTGCAGACGACGTTGTCCTGTTGGCCCCATCAAACCAGGACCTCCAGAGTGCACTGGGGCGGTGTGCAGCCGAGTGTGAAGCGTCTGGGATGAGAATCAGCACCTCCAAATCCGAGGCCATGGTTCTCAGTCGGAAAAAGGTGGTTTGTTCCCTTCAGGTTGGTGGAGAGTTCCTGCCTCAAGTGGAGGAGTTTAAGTATCTAATTTTTTTGAAAGATTACGATCGGTAAAGGAAATTAAACCAGGACTCTGTGGTGTTAATCCAGTATTTACGTTAACATTTTGCTCTGTAGGGAGCAATTTCTGCCTCTGAAACTAAACATGAAAGAAACACAGATGTTTTAGTTAATGAAGTCTGCTGACCAGAGAAATCTGAAGATACACAAAAGATATTCTGCAGGTCTTGTTTAGATTTTGTCCCACTAACCTGAACTATTATCACTGAAATTGCCAGTCAAAAGTCAAAAGGAAAAATAAGTAACCTGCAAATTCTCTGTGTCTAAAGTGAACAACTTATAAACTGCAGCACAAATATAAACTGATATAAAAATGGTTGATATTCAAGCTGCTCAGCCTTACACTGGTGGCAGGCTGACGTATTTATCTGTACTGGTCTAACCTCTGTCTGTCTTGTTATTTGACTGTTTATCATCAGTGTCTGAATGTCTGATATATTTACTCCAGGATACAGTAAATCCCTTATACAGTATGAACTGCTGTAAAATGCCAATTGTTTTTATAGCTGTTAGAAAATCTGTAAAATAATAATAATAATAATTTTGAATGACTTGAGTCTTGTAACACAACTGTGTAAACTTAGAAAATGTCAAATTCTCTTTATCTAATAACACTCTCATCTGAAATGTAAATATGCTACTGTCAGCAGGCAGGTTTTTCCCTGTTTACAGTTTTTATACAAAACTAAGCTGACTGCTTCATAGTTACTACACAGTGATGAGAGTGTTGTCAGTCTTCTCATCTAACTCTCTGACATTTCCCAAAAAGCTAAAGCTCTGTTATGTTTAACTTTACTACATCCATACAGCTACATCCTGCCTGTACAAACAAGCCTAATTTGATCAAACATATTCTCTCTTGTTTCTGTCAGGCTCCTGCTTCTGGGTGGCAGTGCTCAATGGACGTGTGGTGGGCATCGTGGCGGCACAGGGCCGTGAGGATGACAACACAGTTGAGCTGCGGCGCATGTCGGTGGACTCTCGCTACCGCGGCAAAGGCATCGCAAAGGCACTGGGCCGTCGTGTTCTGGAGTTTGCCATGCGCAACAACTACGCTGCTGTGGTCCTTGGTACAACGGCTGTCAAATTGGCTGCCCACAAGCTGTACGAGTCACTGGGCTTCCGCCTAACGGGCCAGAGTGAGGACTACAGGCTACCCGGGATGAGCCGCTCACCGCTGGAGAGGCTCTTCTTTCAGATCCGCTATAGTCGCTACCGCCTAGAGCTCCGTGAAGAGTGAGAGGTGACAGGAAGAGGGAGATGGAGAGGGGATATGGAGAGAGAGGGACAGAGAGAGAGAGAGAGAGCAACAACCCTTCTACATCTGAGAGCCCTGACTGCATCCTCTTCTCTTTTATTTATTTTGTGTCATTAGAGTTAACGTGGAGTACTACTTAACACTTCTACTATTTCATCTTTAAAGTCACTAACGTTTTTATTACTATTATGCTTTTGTTGCTGTTTTACATTTTAAATAACAGTTTCTTTTCTTCTGTTTTATTAATCTATTTTCTGTACTTTTACCCCTCCCTTTTCATTGTGGGAGAAAAAAATTGGCATTCATAGAAGACATCAAACTTGGATCCCAACTACTGTAGGGACCTTCCCCCCGCCCCGTTGATTTAAAGATCTTGTGACCCAGATCAATACTCCCCTTCATTACTATTCTACAATGGCCCTTTTTACCCATCCCCCATTACCTCAGCCTTCCCTTCCCTCCCATATGTCCTTAATTTCCCCACAGCAAAAATCAACAGACAGATTTTGACACAGGACAGTGCAATAATTCACTTGCATTTGTTTCTTTGGGGGTGGACAGAGCACTGGATGGGTTTGGGAGGGGCAGATGTACCTTCCTCGTGAGCAAATCACACAAAAAAGTAGAGGAAAGGCGTACTGTATATACTGTAATACCCCAGTTCTTTAATTGGACAGTTCTGAATAACGAAGGAGTCCGTCTTTCTTCATTTAGTGCTGATTTATTTTAAACCACAAGCAAAATTACAAACACGGCCCAGATTGTTCCTCCTTCCAGGAACTCACACAGTGGCTGCTGGAAGAAGGAGCCCTGGCCACACAGAGCCTAATACATTTATAAGTTTTGGGCTAACCCCTTACACAAAAAGATTACAGAACATCACGAGATGGAGTCAGTCCGACGATTCCATCTCTTATCTAGCGCTCCACATGCTTGGAGCCACTTCGTTTTACCTAGTCATAACAAATGAGGAAGCTCAATGTGTGTGTATGTTGTCACGTGGTGCGTAGCTAAGCATTCATTCAGACATAATATTCTAACACGAGATTTAATACAAGAAAACAATTGCTGTCATGGTACACATTTCAGAATCAACACTGTCTGCTAACCCTGAAATAAAACAGACTAGAGCAGACTTCAAATATTACTAAACTGCATTACTAACACATTTGATTCAACACATTAATGTCTAATAATTATCTGACTGATTTACTAATATCTAACAATACTCAGTCTCTTACAAAAGCTCTGCAATGTTACATCTTGTGTGTGCATTGCGGATAGAGCTGACACACCCCAAGTCATCTGGCTTTTAGCCAGTTTATCAAGACACCATATTGAAACACAGCGAGAGTGTGTTGCTGACCCCCATAGTGAGAGAGAAGGATGGGTACTGGAATATGCACTGTGTATCCTGCATCCTAAATAGACATGAATCGACACAGTGCATCTTCCTCACACACTTCTCTTCCTTCTTCTCACTGATTATTTGATTAGATCTTTCCTCCCTTTCTATTTTTGTCTAGATCTACTATCATTTAATTACTCCTGTTCTCACTGGAGCTGTAGAGAGGGTCTCTGATTGGCTGAGGTGACAGGAAGGTGGAGTTTGCTCACTGCATTGACAAAGCCCAATATACAATACAGCTGCATGTCAGAGCTTGTGTGTGTGTGAGACTGTTGAGTGTATGTGACTGTGTATGTATGTTTGTGGGTGTGTTTGATGTTGCCATGCCTCCACACAGTTAAGCTATTTTTATTTTGTGTGAAAAGATGCACACCGTTCTTGCTATGAATCAAGTATTATCTAACTAAGCATTATTACCTTCTAAGTGTATTTATAAACTGTTTACCGATTGAGCCAATACAAAATCTAAAACTTTGAAAATGTTTAGCATTTGACTGGCAATTTGCAGTGTTATAACTTTAAAAACATATTACCACATGGTAATATGCAAATGTTACAACAAAGTAGCTGCAGTCTAAACTCTGCATACTTAATCCAGGTTACTGGGGAACACATGACTACAAGCAATACTTGCAAACCCACAGTACATCTCAAATCGCAAATAATATTTAAATTAATGCATTGGCATAACTATTCCCCCTTCCCAATATGTGTATATTTTGTATACAGTTAAAAAAAATCATGTAGCAAACAAAACAAAGTGTCTCCCATAACACCTCTTTCTATCTCCATCCTCTGACCATACAACCAGCAGTAAATTCAGCCATCCATGACTCTGAGCCTAAGTTGTGTCATTAAACTATTTGTAAAAAGCATTCTATAAAGCAAAATATAACAAAAAAATCACATAAGAAAAAACAGAGAAAAAACTAAATACAAATGTGATTGTCATGATCTTTGACCTTGCCTTGCCACCCTTTCCCCTCAAATCCTCCTTACCTCCCATTCTTGAATCTGTCTGCAACCCTGGGCTAGACCCCACATCTTCCATTTGAACCCTCCACTGACCTCTGACCTTCCTTATCCCAGTCCCCACTTATTCCCCGCCCATTTCTGCATGCGCCACAGAGCCTTGCTGCACTGCTTTTATTATTCTGTTTGAAGCTTGTCAGACTAAGCCTAGACCCCTCCTCTGATGTCATCTTGGCAGTGTGAGGCTGCTTTTGCTACTCCAGGAAGAATGAGGGACAGGATGTATGTTTGTATGAGTATAGATGTGATGCAGAAGACAGAACATGAGAGAGAACATGTGCTGGTGCAAGACATAGGATACACTCACCAAGTGCAGCACTGCCTGGATGACATCACGCCTGCCAGCCAACCAACTGTAGAATGCAAAAAGCAATGCAAGTGTGGCATGCCTCTGTACCGAGTTTGTGTACGGTGCCTGCCCTGGAAAAGCATTAAAAAAAATTAAGTGATATATACATATATATGTTTAAAGAAAATATGCTTCTTTTTTAGATAGATGTGTAAAAGAAATGGGTGTTTTTTGTTTTGTTTGGAAAAAAAGAAAAAAATTGTACCATTTGCATGAAATGTGTCTTTGAATGCAAATAACTATTAGGGGAGAAACTCCTAGCACATGGCATAAAGTGGAACCATAAACCTGTAATGCTTTTAATTTGATTTTATTCTGAATTTAATACAAGGATATGAAATTAATTCCAGCCACTGTTTATAAATTGTATCCCACTCTAAAAGCCTTACTAAATTTGATATTTTTATTGATACTGATATTCAGTTGATAAGGTCACTGGCTGGAGGGCAAAAATGTTAGTTCCCTTCCCTGGCCACAGTGGTAATAAGGGCATGTGAGTGAAACCACTTGTGGTGAGGATCCCAAACACTTCCACGACAAAGAACTTCAACAGACATTTCACAAATAATGTAATAGCTGTGTTTAATGTCAAAAGTGTCCTCAAGCATACCTGTTTTCTTTTGCACCTAACTTTGAATTATACTTGCCTATAATACCATTTTTAATGAGGGATGTACATACAGTACAAAATGCCCATAATGGACAAAAGCTGATCTTAGCTACTTTGTTGACATGGCCATGCATGTCTGGTCACATGAGATCAAGGCTTCTCCCCCTTCCCCCCTTTTGTTCAACCCATGTGAAATGAGATATCTAGCTACTGACAATTTGTCTTTCAGTTAATGTCAACCTTATGAAGTTCTACAAAGTAAAACCAAGGCACAAATGCACTGAAAGCACAAAACAGTATTGTTTTCCAAAATACATCAGATGCTTTCATTGGGCCAACATGTGGAGGTTACTTCACACCACGTTGATGCATCTGTTTTGAACATGGCTGCTGTTGAAGAGTAAAAAGAGGATGAGACTGTATTTTGTGACATTAGCAGCAACCACTACTGACCTCCATGCAGTAGCATTAAATTACAGCAGGATACACTGATTACAGTAGATAATTCGGTAGCATTAACAACCAAATGACAGCATTAACACTATAACAATTCCTGGTTTGTCTCAAATTGTAGGAATCAGATTATAATCCATCTATATCACCTAAATTGTGAAATATAGGTGTCTGTGGTACAGACACATTTGGAGTGTCAAATAACTTGACTCAGTGTTTAGGTTCTTACTTTAGGACTCAACTGATTCTTCATCAAACTTGGGTGAGGACTGAAAGTTGAGGGTGGGAGGTAGGCTTTGGTAAGGTGTGCTGTGGTCAAAACAAACTGGTCTGGATCTAGTGGAAGAATGTGAAGTCTGTCATTTCTGAGCCATTTTCCTGCTGCCTGGTGAAATTAAAAATTCTCCTTCATGTATTTTTGGGAAAAATTATTATCCATATTCTGAACAAAGTTTATATCATTCAGAACAGCTTTGCCAAGGCCTTACGCACTAGAATTAAGTGCTGGAGTTCAAATATATGAGGGCTGCATGGTTTAGGGTAGTTAAAGGGTGATTTTGAATTTTAAAGATTAAGTGCACTGACTATAATGCATTTATGTCTGTTTTCTACTCCATGTGAATGCTATGCTGTGTGTAGTCTCACCCGCTATTAAAACTGGTATTGCATAAATAATGTTAGAATGTAGTAATTAAACTGTATGCAACTTCTACCAGAGGGTAAATTTAGTTACAAACTGTTACTCTGAAATGTTCTGCTGATGTACAATCTCACACTTTTTCCGTTTGCTTGTCTGTTACTTGTTTGAGTGAGAGCGTGCTTTCGTATTGTTTGAGGTTTGAGAAGGAATGCTGTATAAAAGGCTCTCCTGCCGGAGAAGTCTCTTTTAGTTTAGACCCCTGAAATGATCACTTGCTGCTCTCTCTCTGATGGCAGACAGAGGCACAAGCTGAGGCTTTTGAAGTTGTATTTCAACTTTTGTTTTTTTTTTTGTTTTTTTTTTATAATAAGACATGGGCACCTTTAGTTCTGATTTTGTGCTGTTCAAACAACCATACTGTAAATAATAATAATACCAATATCTGTAATGGTCAGTATTCCCTTCAGTTTCTCTACTGGTGAAGGAGCATAGCATTCAAAACAGCAGAAATGTATAGATTCTATGGGTGACTTGTATTACTCTGATGGTGCATGTCCATGCTCAACAGCCTCGGGGAGGATCACTCACAGGCATGAATGTAAACTGCCAACATTTAAATTCTTACAAAGGTTTTTGTTTTGTCTTTCCTGGCTGTTTTTTTACTTTACAAATGAAAAGAACAGTGGGAAAAAAAGTGACAAAACTAGTATGTTAGATGTTAGACTGTGTAAATAGCACTATATCTATTGCTAATGTATTGTTTACTGCAAACTGTCATCTTTGGTTTTAGTAACTTTTGTCTCAGAAGATGGCTGTCGCCTGGAATGTTCCACCTAAAGGAGGGTGAGGGGTGAGGGAGGAATGTGCCACATTGGCAGTTTAAAGGGGCGGTGTGGTGGGGTAGCAGGAGGAGGTCTGCTGCAACAGAGCGCCACAGTATGGACTCCCTCTCTCTCTCTGCCTCTGGTGAGGACTTTGATCTAATGTGGCGAATATGGAAGGACTCACTCTGGACTGAGGCCACAGGTGCCAAGAACACATAAGCACTTGTAGCACAACTGTGTCTTGTTTTGCTATTACGGTACAGGTAGCTCAGATTTTTTTTACATTTCCTATGAAGAATATGGAAAATGTTTCTCTTTGTCCTGCATTACTAACCGTATGTATCATATATACAAGACATTACAACATTATGTAGAATCTGAACCACAGCCCGCGGCTATTTCTGGAGGTGAAATTTTGCCAAAGGAGACAGAAATTGCTGCATTTGTAATCAACACAACCCTGCACATAACTTGGTATTATTTGGAAAAATCCTGCTCACGTGCCATCTAAACAAGCAATAAATACAAACAGAAAAAAAAACACTAAATAATGACATGCTATCTCCAAGGATTTTAGTAAAACATGAAATGCTGCATTGATGTTATATCCCTTATACTGTACCAATTAGTGGCAGTGATGCCGTCACAGTAATGGCATTGCAATAATACCACTGGAAGCCTGAAGGAGTGTTTGATTGTAAAATGTTTCTGTTTTTTGCATTTTTCTTTAAAAAGAGGTGTGTTTTTAAAACTCACAGATGAAGTACACAGGTGTGCCTCTACTGTACGTATTTATACAGATGTCAGTCAGAAATGGAGCACATGATGGTGAAAGGAGATGCTAAAAGTTTAAATGAGCAGTTCAAGCAGACAGGCGATGGCGCAGCCCCACTCTCAAAGTGCTATCTGCTGCAAGTCTCGTAACTGATCTTTTATTTAACCACAAAACCATCAGATTTATTTGTACCACTGAGACCTGCACTGCAACTTCACTTCCACCTTCTGTCAGTGTGACTGAAAATAACCACATTAAAACATGTCACAGCTGCCAGAATTGCAACTCTCTACCATGCTGAGTTTTCATACAAGAGTCACTCTTTTCCTTTAATCTGCAAGTTAGTAACTGTAAAGTTGTAAAGTATATTTTACTGTAACCATTGCCTGGGATTAATTTTTACTCCTTTTGAAACTGTTTAAAATACATAAACATATATTTTAAAGATATTTGCAGCACTAATAAAGATATTCCACAGCAGTGCAGGTGTATTCACCTGGACAACAATCACATACTAAGTAATGACAGCCACTTTCAGGGATTATAGTGCTCACCATCTTACCCCTGGTGTCTTTGTCCCAAACTGATTCAGACACACCCTTCCATGTCCTCCCCTGTCTGCTTGAACTCTCAAGCCATCAGAGAGAGCCTAAAACACTACAACAGCAGCATCTCTGTTAGCTTACAGCACATAGCAGCCATGGCCAAGACTATCAGCAGTTCCAGACTGAGCTATCTAGCTACAGAAAACTCCTGCAATGCACGTGGCTCTCTCTGCCATGGAGCCCTGTCATGGCTGTTGCCTGTTGCCAGGAAACCGACCCGCACAAAGCACAGCATGGGATGATATGCAACCACACTGTGGGGAGACAGACAGGTCAACCAGCCAGCCATGATAGACAAATAAGGAGGAGGGACTGCTGGATATATGGATGGACTTTGGGGGGGGGATTACGTTGCAAGTGAGGGATCATTGTAGCTGAGGGTTAAG